ATATTTATTGAAATTTGAATTGAGCTATTAGCAATTATCATTATTCATAAATTAATTCCTTAAATTATCAAATATTTACAATCAGTTTTTGGACATTTTTAATTGTATTAATTTTTATTATTTAAATTGAATGATTTCTTCATCAAATTTCTGTTTAAAATTTGATACAAATTTGTTGGAATTTTTTTTTTTTTTTAAATTTCTAAAATGATTTATTACATAAACTATTGTCTAATTTATTGCATTTTGTTTTCGATGAAACCTTTGTAAATGTTAAATAATTTTCAATTCTTTGTCCTTTCGGAAAATGAAACGAACTATTTAATTCAAATAATTGATTATCGATGAGACAAGAAAATGAATTAAATGAAAAAATTTCTTTTCTTTTGTAACTTATTTGTCATTACACTTCAAATCAGTTAAATAAAGAAATGAAATGAAATAAAATAAAATGAAATGAAATGAAATGAAAATGGATGAAAGGCGCATTTGTCAGTTAATTGATTTAAGGATACATTGCGCCTCTCTTATACATTTTACTCATTCCTCTTTCATTTCGCAGTATTTCTTCTCTTAACTCTTCAATTCTTCACTGTTATCTTGAAATTTTAAACCCTAATATTAAAATTGCTAAAAGCACTCAGTATTGAGCTTCTTTTCTATTTATCATATCAGATATCAATCTTGACATTGATATCATTTTCAAGTAACAAAATGACAATTGTGATAAGTCATAGAATTGCTTAAAAATCTTCTCAAATTTATTATGCAAAACTTTTTTTTATTATTTAACTGATATGATAATGATAACTTGTTATCAGTTACTTTTTTAATACAATGAAAATTATTTGCAAAAGGAAAGAATAAAATGATTTATTAACTTGTAAATTATGCTTACTTGTCGTTATTTTTAGTTACTGCTCGAAGTGTAAAGATTCAATTTTCAATTCTTTGACTTTTTTCATTTTCTCATTTATCAATTCTCATCCAATCGATTTCTTTTTTTTTTTTATTTGTTAAAATTTTCTTTTTAGTTTTACAATTTTTTTACAGAAATTTGTTAGTGGGAAAGAAAAGAAAAAAAATTCAAATTGTTTATAATATTTGAAAAAAAAAATCAATAAAAAATTAAAATTTTTTCTATTTAATGCAAAGTATATCTAATTTTATGATAATTTTTTATATTTATTATAATCTAATTTTTATCTTTTGTAACAGAATTAAAGCATATTTTTGTATTTTATATTAATAAAATTTTTGAATTATTTTTTTGTGTTTAAATGTTTATTTGTTTATTTTATACGATTTTTATGTTTGTATTTTAAGCTATTTATTTATGTTAGAATCATTTATTCAAAATCATTTATTATATTTATAAAAATTTTAAAACAATTTATTTGTAATTATTTTTTTTTTTTTGTTACTTATGATAGTTTTTAAAAATTTTGCAGAATTAATCTTCGTATTGTTTACTTATGCATATCTTATCAATTCATTTAATTTTTAAATTATGAATTTGAAATCTTATTTCTTTTGGAATTCTTTTTTCTTTTTTCGGCAATTACGAAAAAAAAAAAAACTTTTAAACATATTATTTTATGCGATCGTAGTATTAATTAATTTTAAACATTAAAAATTTGTTCATTTAATTTGATTCATTTAGAATTAAATACAACTATTTGTATTTCGAGAGTTGATCAGAGTGATTATTTTGTTGTAGTAATTTATCAGAAGAGAAAAATAAAAGCAAAAAAAAAAATTGAATGAATAACAATTTAGGAATGTTTCGATTTTATTTTCATAAAATTGTGAAATGTTTTCAATTTTGTTTAAGCAAAAATACTTTGAGAGTTAATAATTGAGATATTTGTTTTTGAGTGAAAGCAGCATTATCATTTGTGATTCTATCAGTGATTAAATTCTTCTTTGGCTGATTAAAAATTGGCCAAAAAATTTAGACTTTTATTTATTTGAATTTATTACTTTCAGAAATATTTTTTTGACGTTTTTGTTAGATTTCTTAAGGATTTCGTATTGTTAATGACACTTAATTGCAGGAATTAAAATCTGCTACTAGTCTTCTTTTTTTCTTTTTGGCCAGAAGCTAAAAGCTTTTGGCCTTATTTTATATTTTATTTTTTAATTTATTCCAAGAAAAAATGCAAATTAAATATTTTAATTTCAATTTCAATTTGTTATAATTAACATTTATTGCACAATGCCATGTTATCTGTTATTTGTTATCACCTCACTACTTTGATAATCATAATGTGTTATCACCTCACTACTTTGATAATCATAATGTGTTATCACCTCACTACTTTGATAATCATAATGTGTTATCACCTCACTACTTTGATAATCATAATGTGTTATCACCTCACTACTTTGATAATCATAATGTGTTATCACCTCACTACTTTGATAATCATAATGTGTTATCACCTCACTACTTTGATAATCATAATGTGTTATCACCTCACTACTTTGATAATCATAATGTGTTATCACCTCACTACTTTGATAATCATAATGTGTTATCACCTCACTACTTTGATAATCATAATGTGTTATCACCTCACTACTTTGATAATCATAATGTGTTATCACCTCACTACTTTGATAATCATAATGTGTTATCACCTCACTACTTTGATAATCATAATGTGTTATCACCTCACTACTTTGATAATCATAATGTGTTATCACCTCACTACTTTGATAATCATAATGTGTTATCACCTCACTACTTTGATAATCATAATCATCGCACTAAATGACTTTGGTCAATAAATCAATGATTGTGATTGATGTAATAAATTTTGATAACATTTGTAATAAATAAAAAATAATTAAGCACATTTATATTTTTAACAAAATTGAAAACAAATGAAATGAATGAAAAAAGTGAACGATGAAATGGAATTTTTCTTTTTTTCATTAAAATTTAATAATTATTTATTTGGCATATTTTAGATGAAATTCTAGCAACAGCTGCTACATCATTTATAGCACACAATGGGAAAATTTCCAACAAAATTAATCAAAAAAAAAAGTGCAATTTTCTTTCTTTTTTTTTTTTCCTTTCCTGAAAATATCAATTTTAATTGGAATATTCTTTTAAAAGAATTATTCCGACTTTTAAAACTATTCGCATTTTTACATTATTAGTAGTATTGTTGATACTATTACTACTATTACTACTGATACTACTGATACTGATAATTTTACTATTACTTTTATTATTATCATTATTATTATTATTATTATTATTATTACTATAACTACTACTGCTATTATTGCTACTACTATTAGTACTTTGTTGCTACTGCTAATACTGCAAAGTGATGGCTAATTTTTACACTGATTTATGATTGTGAGAATTTCATTTCTCTCTAAATTTTATAAAAAGTTTTGCGGAACAAAGAATCTCTTATGTGCTGCAAAGTGTTGATAGAGTTTGAGGCATTTCAATCTTACTTCTTCTTCCATCGGTTTTGTTGATAATTGTCTAAAAGGCTGACGTATGTATTGCTTTCCTATTTGCTCGAACATTTTTCCTTCTTCTTCGCCTTCTATCTTTCTTTTTAACAATTTTACTTTTTTTCTTATTTCTTTTTTCAAAAATTAAAATTATGAAAGAAACAAATCATAAATTTTTTTTTTTGCTTAAAAAAAAACGAAAAAACAAAAAAAAAGGAAAGAAAAAACTTGAGATAATAACAAATTTTGCTAATTAGAATTAAACGAATTTATCAATTCATTTTTCTTTTAACTCTTTGTAGCGTATTGTACATTAAGTATTTAATCATAATCTTTATTAAATTTAAAAAAAAAAACATGATAAGGGCAAATGTGGGTATAGCATTAATGATTATCAATGATAGGGTACAGTAGTACATATCAGTGCTTATGATTATCAGTGATATACAGTAGTATGACTGATAAATGGTACATTACTGTATATATAATCATAAAATCATTAAGATATTGAATTATTGGAAAATATTATGAACAATACAATCATAATTCAATCTTTCTTTTCTATAATTGAAAAAGTTTTGCTTAGTTTTTAGTTTTTTTTGTGTTTTTTTTCGAGTGCTACAAAAAGATGCACAAATTTGTTGAAAGTATTTTTAAATTAAATTTACTTTGGACATCTGCAGCAGTCATTGCATTTATTGTTTTTTTTTTTGTGGGTGATAAGAGTTTTTTTTTTTCATTTTTTTCAAATCTAATTCTGGAAAATTTTTATTTTTCATGAAATCTATTGCTGACTCATATATTTTTGATATAGAATAGCTGTAGAATTTTTATGGCGGTATTGTCAAATACTTGCTAGAGGGGCGCTATTGTCAAATACTTGCTAGAAGGAATATTTGTCTTCATTTTTTGTGCTCAAAATATCTCTTTCAGGGAAGAGAAGAGAGAGCGGATAAATTTCATTGAAAAGTGCATAATTTTTTTTTTTTTTTTTCATCTTTTTTAAAAAAAAATGTGTCTGTATATACGGTGAATTTTTGAAAGTTTTTTTTTTTTCCAAAATTTTTTAAAATGTAAAAATTTTCTAAAAATTAAATTTTTTTATGATAATAAAAACTATATATAAAATTGGAATAGGTTAAATGTTAGTTTGAATTTGTTAAAAATTTTAGTTAACAGAAATTGAATAAATTTTCACCTCCATTTTTCATTTTTTGGAATGAATAAATATGTTTGAAGGATTATTTGTTCATTTAAATGAGCAAATGAATAATTTTGTTTTGCATATTTATATTTGGATTTGTTCATTTGTTTTTAAAGTATGTTTTTAAATTGATATAAATGTAAAATGACCCTTAAAATATTGATCGTTTAAAATAAAATGAGAAACGGAAATTATTTGATGTTGGAAAAATAGTGACAGAAATTAAAGAATTAAAATTGATTATTATTTGTTCTATTTTAAATCGGTTTTTCCAATCAGACTATATCATTTAATTTTAATTATTTCTTTTTAGGATTGTCACATCTGTTCAACGATACCTGTAATAATTTCAATGAATTTCGATGTCATCGAAATCGACGACGACCCAAATCATACGTAATGGCTACCAGTTCCGGTTCAGCATTATCAGCTAGTGATGATTCAATTGTAATCCAAAATGCATCATCATCACCTGATATCAAGTAAGTTTCAATTTTTTAAATTTCAATTTAAATTTAGCAATAAAAATGGAATGAAAAGAAAGTAAGTTTTATTTATTTCAACAAATTAACTCCATCTCTCCCAGTTTTCTGTTTTTTTTTTCTCGTTTCTTATTTTTTTATTAATCTAAAATTATAATAGAAAAGAATTATTTTATACAGTGGGAAATAATATTTTCATATTTCACAAAAAATGAAAGTAATTAGTCAGTAGTTAGTTGATTATAATTAATTAATGAATAAACCACTGTGATATTGAAATTTTTTGATAAAAATTTTTTTAATTATTCTAGAATTTTTTGAAATAATTTTAACATTTACTTACCTATCTAATCATTTCCTTTTTTTTTCCTTTTTTTAAATAATTATTAATCATAAATGGTATTGTTAGAATGAAAAAAAAAATGATAAAATGAATTAAATATCAATTAACATTTCAATGTTATTTTAGTGTATTATCGATTTCATATTTTTATTTTTTAAAAAAAAAAAAAAAATGAATTAGCTTAAAAGTTCAAAATGAATTTCCTCATTTTAGTGGATAACAAAGTAAAATCCTTTTAGTTAACTTTAAAATTGTATTAACTAAAATTGCATATAATCGTAGAGATTATATGCTTCCATTCTTATTCTAAGGCTATTTTCAAATAAAATTATTGATGAAAAGAATAATAACATCTTTTGTTGTAAAAATTTGAAAATTTCCTCACAATACTCTTTTTACGTTTCTTTTGTAATGATTGTATCAATCGTTCACGTGATAGGCTCAAGTAATAGGCGCAAATGTACAATGTTTATATGCGTAAAATGTATGCGTGTGTGTTTACTACTTTTTTATCAATGCAATTTGTGCAAATACTTTTTGCTCTTAACTTTAACTTTGAACTTTTACGTTATAACCATAATCAAACGATAAATGGACTAATTTAAATTTAAATAATTATAATTTCTATTGTTAAAATTAAAAAAAAATGAAGAAAAGAATCGTTAAAATATATTTGTACAATTATATATGCAAAAAATAATAATTTGGTATTAGTTCTAACACACAAATATAGTTTTCTAATATTTGAGTATGAAATATTTACGATATATTAGTCACTTTCATCTTGAAAAATTTCCGGAAAAAGAATCGGTTTAGCTTATCGGAAAAAAAGCATTATATGATGATGCATCGATTTCATTTAGTTGTTTACTTGTTGACCAAAATCGAATAAATGTGTTTATATTCCCAAATGTCATCATCGTCATCATCATCCATGTGATTTGTAAAAATAATGTTTGATGTTAAAAATAATGAACTTCCTTTCCTATACGAAATTTCTCTCTCTCTCTCTCTCTTTCTCTGTCCCTCTGTCTCTCTTTCTCTCTCCCTTTCTACTTCCTATCTCTGTATTTGATTTAAGAATTAGGCAATTATTTTAGGGAAGAAAATAAATTGAAACATTAAATTTCCAAGGAGATAATTTAGACATTTATTTATGGTTTAGAAAATATTTTTACTTTATCAAAATTGTTTAATTTTTCTTACAATAAATGATAGTATGGTAATAATTATTTGTTTCTTTTCTTTTTTTTTTAAAAAAAAAAATTATTATACTTTAACAATTTTTTATTTTATTTTTGAATTAAATTTTCTGTTCAAAAAAAAAAAAAATTTTTTTTTTTTGTTATTAAAATTGTTTTAAAAGTTTTATTTCTAATAATTGTTTATTTTATAAAAGATACAATTTTAAATTATTCTCATCTATTAGTTGTCATAATTGAATGGTAATTTGTGGTTGTTGTCAACATCGTCTAAAATTTGCTTTTTGTCTTATTATCCATCAATTGAGATTTAATTTCTTACATTTATTGAAGAAAGAGAGAGAGAGAGAGAGAGAGAGAGGGAGAGAGAGAGTGAAATAATTGGAAGAAGGAAATTTATTATGCTTCTTCTTCCATTTAGCAAATACAACAGAAGGAGGAAGAAAATAATGAAAGCTAAGCATAATTATTCTAAAAGGGATGAATGAATGAATGAATCTCTTCCAATGTAAGCTTACCATCTAATTTTATGCTTCAATTCATTTTTAAATTTTTACTAACTAAAATTTCATTTTGCTTCCTCTTTCGTTCTAATGAATAAATAGCAACGAGGAAAGTACGATCATATTTTTATTTCTATTTTCAAAATTTTTTGAATCTTTCTTATCTCAGTTTATTTCTCTTTTCTTTTCTTTTTTTTTTTCTTTTCAAAAATTAAATCTTTTTGTCAAAAAAAAAAAAAAATATGATAGTCTGTCTGATCAAAGTGTAAAATTTTAAACATTATTAAATATGAACTCTCTTCCATAATATATCTAAACATATTGAAATATAGAAAAGAAATTTAATCAGAAAAAATGATTTCAATAAATGTGTCATTTTTATCTCACAAAAAGAAATAAAAAAAGAAAAAGAAATAAATAAATTGAAATTATTGATTGTAAAAATTAAAATACAAATTAAATATTTGATAAATTTATTGAGAGCATTAAAATATTTGTGTTTTCATTGAGTTTTGAAATTGAAAAATGTTAAAAAAAAAAAAAAAAAAGCAAAACAAAACAAAATTCACACTAAATGATAAATAGATTTTCGTAAACCAAAAAAAAAAATGGAATCAAAAAAAAGTAAATTTTTTTTTTCTTTTTAAAACAATTTGTTGAAATGTTTCACTTCTTACTGTTTATTTCTCTCTTGATCAGAAAACATCTATTATCACTGATCTTTCTATATCTTATCACTACTTGCTACTTTTCCTTTCTTGAAATATGATCTTCAATCAGTGATTATATTCATTATCATTGTCCAAAGCTAAGTTCAGCCAAGTAGAGCAACCAATTTTCATATTTGCATTGATAATAATGCGATAAGTTTTTTTTTTTTTTTTCAATTATTATTAGTATCCCAAAAATAATTAATTTAATATCCAAAATTGATTTAAAATTTAGTTCGAAATTTTTCTACAAAGAATGAGATGGAACATTAGAAATACATTTAACAGAATTAAATTTAGAAATTATAAAAAAATGTAATTGTTGTTTTTGAAAATGTGTTCGAAAATTTTTTTAAATTCATTAATTTTTTTTTTAATTTTTTAAATTCATAAATTTAATAAAAAAAAATAAATAACTATGGGATCTCATTGAAATTATAGCAGAAAATTTTTGAACTTCTTGCCAATATGATATAGCACAACTTTTTTTTTTTTTTGTTGTTATACGTCATCAGTAAGTCTCTTTATACGTACGTAAAAATCTACGTGAAACTTGCATACATTTGTTTAACATAATTTTTTATTATGATTGTACAACAGAAATTAATGCATTTTCAAGTTTTTCCACAAATAAATATAATCTCTTCAAAACTTGTGGTTAATCACAGAGACATAAAACATTGATAGGAAAAACTTATCGCAGAAAAGATTGTCGCGAAGAGAATTTGATGTGACATTTTTGGCTAATTGAACAATTTCCATATTTTTTTTTTTTTTTTTTTTTTTCTTGATCTAAAGAATAGTTTTTTTTTCAAATTATGCATTATAATTTGTGCTAAAGAAAAAAAAAATTTTTTTTCTTTAAAAGTTTATCAGATGGATTAGGTAATTTTGATGGTAACAATGGGACAGAATAGGTGAGGAAGTATTTTAGTGAATGTTTAGAGAGATTATTCGCTCCGTTTAGTTATATTTGTCACAAAATCTGGTTTTGTAGAGTTTCAAGAATTGTCACTAATGATGGTAGCATCAATGGAAGTCGTCATCCGGCTCAGGTAATGGCTTTTGAAATTACCTGTTGATGTCACATGTCTCCTCTCATACTCATACTCACACACACACACATATACGAATAAAATTTGTAGCTTTTTTTAAACTCAAAACTTTGGACTGTTTATGTTTATTTCTATTTACAAATAAATTTGGTAAGAGATGAAAAAAGGTAAATAAACAAGTGAGAATTTATAATCACTGAGATATTTTTAAGAAATTATTTATCGCAATTTTTGTTAAAGATATGAATATATTACTATCTCTTTAGATTTAATTTATCATAAATTGAAAAAATTTGCATATAATTTTTTTTTTTTTTTAAATGAATTATGATTAACACTAGAAGGAATAATTTTTTGTTTGGTAAATTAAAAATTTTAATTTCAAATCGTATGTTTTAAACAAATTTTATTTCAAATCTTTTTGTAATGGCTTAGTAACATAAAAACATTGTTTTTCTTTTCTTTTTTATTTTATTTTGTAAAAATGAGACATTGTATAATTCATTTTTTCTTTATCATTTTATTTCATTATAATCAATTCATTCTTTTTTTCATTTTCATTTTAAACGATTTCAAAAATTTTTTATTAATTTTAATATTTTACAATTCATATAATCATATCTTTGTTAATTGATTTTATGTACAAAAGATTTTCTTTAATTTATTTTGTTTGTTTCTTAAATTTTTTTTTTTTAAAAAAGGTGAATTTTTTAAATTTTTCAAGAAAAACAAAAGAAAATACAACGCTGAGCTAATAAAAAAAGGAAAAGCAAAAAAAAAAAATGAAAAAAAGATCTTTTGAAATTTAAAAATTAATTACTTTATTAATTACTCATCGTTTCTTTCCTTTTTTTTTGCGCCATTTCTCTTTTACATTTCAAATCAAAAATTTGTATTTATTTTTCATTAGCAAAAAAAAAAAAAAATCCTTTTCCTTTGCCCGCTTTTTCCATCTGTTCAGAATGTCACCTAATGGTAGAAGCAAGGTGACACACTACTATAAATGCTTGCTTATTTGAGAGGAAAAAAAAATGAAACTTTTTTGATAAAATTTAAAATTAAAATTAAATGTTCGAGTATTATTCATTCTTTTAGCATATTTTATTATTTAATTTTTTCGCCATTTATCGATCTATAATTTGCTATGGTTGCAATTCAGATGTTTTATAAAACTAAAAATTTACAACATTAGTGAATAATTTCTTCTTTTTTTTTTTTTCAATTGAAAATTTCATAAACTTTTTTTTTTTCTTTTGATTCATTTCATCTGGCACTTAGTTATTTGTGTATGGTACCAGATGGGACGACAAATATTTAAGCGTCCTAATAATGGGCAATAGAAAAAAGGGTGGGCTATGACATATGGATAAGGGTAAGGGTAAGGGTAAGGGTAAGGCTATGGGTAAGGCTATGGGTAAGGTTAAATGAAGAGCTCATTATTCATTCTTCCTACCTGTTTCTTCTCTCTATTTTCCCTTTACTCTTCTATACCAATTTTACCATTAAAATCTTTTTTTTTTTGCGCTGCATAACGATGAATGAATTCTGATTCGATCATTTCATTATAATCAGAAAAAAAGAAAAAAAAAAAATTGGTAAAAATGCTACGCTACATTTTCATCCTTTTATCCAATTTAAATTTTTTTACAGTTCATTTCATTTTTGCTAATTTTCTTCATTCTTTGAAAATTATTTTTACATTTTTTTTTTTTAAATCAATCATCAAATATAGTTGAAATGTAATTGATACAAATACAAATATAGTTGACACTTTTTTTTTTTTATTTCAATTTAAATTTGAAAAAAAAAAGTGTTAATAATTATTTCTTTTATTTCTCAGCTATTTTAACTAGTAATAATAATAATAATAATAATAACAATAATAATAATAATAATAATAATAATAATAATAATTAGCGCTAATATATTCTTCATAATAAAATTCATTAAAATATTAAAGAAATGAGCATCACTTCATAGAATTCATAAAAGGTTTTATTAATGAAATGTCAATTAATTTATTTCAATTCAGAAAATCAATAATAGTTCATTTAGCATTTTTCATTCAAAGATTGCCATTAAAAAAAAAAAAAAAAAACAAAGAATTCTATTTAGAAATTTTAAATAAAATTATTTCTACAATTGCTAAAATAATGTTTGCTCCAAAATATTTTAGTTTTTTTTTTTTTTTTCTTTTTTACTTTCATATAAAACATTTTACATAATGAAAGAAATAATTTGAAAAGTGATAACATTCATTTAATTTATTGATATTAAATATCATCGAAAATGTTTCAAAAAGTTTTATTCTTTTTCCTCTGATAACGTTTAAATCAATTAAAATAGCTCAATTCATTGTTATTTCATTGAAATGTTTTTGTTTTGCTTTTGTTTTTTATTCTTTTCTTTTTCTATTTTTTTTTTTTTTTCATCTTTTCATTTAATTTTTATTGCTATCATTTTGCTAAGTTTTTTTTTTTTTTTTTTTTTGCATTTCTTATTTCCAAAAATTGAAAAACCGTTAAAATCATTTCATCAATTCAATTAAAAGCCGGAAAATTTGCCCTTGGATTTAGATGGAATTGTGGATAATTTAAATTCCAAAATTGCTTTTGTATGCTTTTCTTTCTTCTCTTCTTTTTCCTCCTTTTTAATTCACTTTTTTCTTAAGTTTTAAACAAGTTTTCTGGTGTCATCTTATCTCTCTATTATTTGAATAATTATATTTTCCAAAAATTTTACATAAAATTTTATTTTTAAATTTTAAATTATAAACTGAGCTAATTTTTAATTAAAATTTTCAACATTCATTTCATATAATATTTATTCGTAACATAATATAAAACATGCATTTTTCCATCAATTTTATTTTAATTATTAGAAAAAAATAGTACTATAATTATTTGAAATGTTCATTTCTATAAAATTAAAATATGCTATAACATTTGTATAGAACTCATAATTCTTTTATTTCATTTTAATTTTTTTCATTAATAATAATTAATTAATTACTACTACGATATTAATCAATAAATTATAGATTAAACAGAAATAATTTCCTGTCATCAAATAATAATTCTTTTAAAATATTGCAAAAATAAAAATGCAAAATTCAAAAAAAAAATTTGCCATGTGATAAATTTTCATTATAATATTTGCGCAAAATTTTGTTAAAAATCTTCTTTTTCATATCATTTTTTATTTTATTAAATAATATTAATTTTATTTTTACTTAGAATAAAAATATTGTAAATTATTTTAAAATTTTTGAAAAATTTTTCATAAAAAAAAAAAAAAGGCTTTTGCAATTTGAAATTGAATTTTCTTTGTTTTTTTTTTTTTTTTTCTTTTTTTTTCGAATAAAACAAGAAAAATCAGTAAGAAAACTGCAACAGTTGGTTTCCTTTCTTTTTTTTTTTTTTTTTTACTTTTTGTTGATTTTAAAAGAATTTTTGAAATTAGTTTTTTTTTTTTTTACAATACTTTTGCAGGCGTGTGTTATCATCAGAGGAATTACATGATAGTGGTGATAGCTTATCATTATCATCACCAGTACTTGCCAAAACAACATCATCAATATTTTATGCTCCAAATCATAGCGCTTCAACAAGCGTTCATATACCAGCAACCACGCATCGCATTCAACGCTTTATCAGTTTTTTTTCTTCCAGTGATACACAGGTTTTAATTAAATTTGAAAATTAAATATATTAAAATTTATTTTTGCACTAATTAAATGATATATTAATTAATAATTATAATGATTAAATATATTAAAATTTATTTTTGCACTAATTAAATGATATATTAATTAATAATTATAATCATTAAATATATTAAAATTTATTTTTGCACTAATTAATAATATACATACATAAATTATTTGTCTATCAAATATTTATATAATTTTATGCAGAAAATAAAAAAAAAAATAAATTTTTTACACCAATATATGATTTATTTATTTATTTTTTCTTTAAAAAAGTTTCTTTTTTATTGGTTAAGAATTAATAATAATTTTAATTTATAATTAATAATTGAAAGAATTAGGTTTATAGCATTTTCCTTTTTTTCTTTTTTATTTTGTTGTTTATTAATTTTCAATTTTTTCTTTTTCTTTTGTTGTATAGTGTTTAAATTTAGTAATATTTATCTTGCTTTATGCATTATAAATGTATAAATAATTGTGTAAATTATGTAAATTATATCAAATTTTATATAAATTAGTTAATTACATCAAATTATATATAAATTACCAAATTATATTAAATTCTATATAAATTAGTGAATTATATTAAATTTTATATAAATTACCAAATTATATTAAATTGTATATAAATTAGTGAATTATATTAAATTATATATGAATTAGTAATTATGTAAATTCACATCTGTTTTTTTTTTGTTTCTTTTTGCACTATTACTTAAAATATATTATGGTATATTTGATAAGTATACTTTTAAATATAATAAGTTATACGTGAAATAAAGATATAAATAATTGTTCCCTTAAAATATATATTTTTGTTCCCTTAAAACAAAAAAAAAAGTGTCTGTTGATTAACTTTTGTGTTTTTTTTTTTTTTAAAAAAATAAAATTTTTAACAGCTGCGAGCACCAATATCAATTTATGATCAGTCATTATTTTTGCTAAGAGTTTGTTTTTTTTTTTTTCTTTTTATTATTATAAATGATAAAGTAATATGTGAAGAAATCATTCTTCTTCTTATTATTATTTTTATTATTATTGAAATTATTATTTTTAATTATTATTATTATTATTAATCAAATAAAAATAAAATAAAAGTAAATAAACTTATGAAGATATTGTATAACGATTACTTTACACATTTCTAATTTAATTTTGAATTGTTTATAAGAAAAAAACAAACAAACGAGAAAACATTTCAAGAGAGTTATTTATTAAAAAAGAAAAAGAAAAAAGTTTTACAGTCGAAACATTGTGAAAAGACAATCTCACCTACTACTACTGTACGATTTCCATCACGTCGTCGTCTAAAACGCTCAACGACAGCGACAACAGCGCCGATTAGTACATCCTTATTAGCTACACCGATACGTCTAGGTGATGTTCAAAAACAGGGCCAACTTATGCATCAAGTTAGTAAAACCTTAACATTTTAAATTTTAATTTATTATTCGATACTCTTAACATTTCATGAATCTAACTTTATATTTACTATATTAGCTACATCGATACGTCTAGATCACGTAAAAGTTTACGTGTTTACATTATATTGACAAAATCATTGTTATGAATTCATTGTGTAATAAATCGATTTTTTTTTTTTTTTATAAAAATGTCTGTTTTTTGAATGATGATTAAAAGAGAAAGAAAAATTAACAATTTCGAAATATTTTCTGCTTTTTTTTTCTTTTCAAATCAAAACGATATGTCATTTTATAGGAAGTGGCCATGGGTGAATCACTAAAAAATGACCGACACAAGTGGACAATGTATTGGGCAGTACTTCATGGTACTAAATTATATCTTTGCTGTCAACTAAGCTCACATATCAATGACGAAACGCATGAAAAAGTTTGATTTTTTTTTTTTTTTTTTTTTTTGGCAAAATGTTTAATTCTTATTTATGCAATTTCTTTCAATTATTCAATTTCATTTCATTTCATTATTATTATTATTATTTTATTAAAAATTATTGTCAACCATAAATTTAGAATTAATTTTTTATCAAAAGAAAAAAAAAACGCTGTTATTAATATGAATAATTTTATTGTTAGTTTAAATTTTAAAAGATTATTGGTAAACTAGAAAAAGTTGAATTTATTTATGATTTAAATGAAAATTTATCATTGTTGCACTTATTTGTATTTTTAATAAAAATTAATTTTTATATTGGATAAAATTTCAACTGCAGCAATCATTTAAATAAATTATCTCAACTTTAGAATTTATAATATGCGCAAAACATTGATAAATTGGAAATGATAAGTGAACAATGATAAAAATGATAAATTTTATTTAGTAAACAAAATGACTTTTATTTAGTAAACAAAATGACATATATGTTTATTTATTAAACAAGTAAATGAATACAAATAGCGTCATTGTACTTTAGCTAAATAGTTGAAAAGAAAAAAAAATTTTTTTTTTTTTTGTTAAATTCAATTCTATCAGTGTGAAATTGATCTGATTGATTTCTAGCAAATGTTTATTAGCTATGCTTCTTCGATCTATGCTAATAGTAGTGCATTGTGATGATTTTAAGATTAGATGCTTATTCTAAATTTCTATTTTTTTTTTCTTTTTTGAATAATTTACTAATTTACTTTCTTCACCATTGAAATAATGGATCAATCCTTTTGAATTTTATCTTCAAAATTTAAAAATAAAATAATAGTTTTTATTGTTGTACAATAAATTCTGTATAAATGAAGCATTTTATTGAAGTATATCAAACTTTATTTTAAATTATATATAATTATTCTTTGAAATTATCTTATTGAAAATTTTTGCTAATTTTATATTTTGCATTACTGCAAAATATAATCAAATATCTTTCTTTAAACTTAATAATTAGGTTTTTTTTTTCTTTGAAATATATGTACTTATAGTAGTAATACATGCAAAAATATATTTGAATATTCACATAATGCAAAATAATAAAAATAATTCAAATTTACTTCCATTATCTTTTTCTTTCTTAATTTTGAATTAATTTAAATTAAGCTAACTTTAAATTTGGATATTATTTAGCTACGATAAAAGCTTTCCTTTAGCAAAATAATATAAACTAAAAGTTATTCTTCTATTTGTTGCTATTAATAATACTACGAAATGTTTTATTTTTTAAATTTAATTCATTTCTATCAGTGCAAAAAAGAAAAGAGAGCATTGAACTTAGTTAGACTTAAATTTAATTTCAATTGAAAAAGATTTCACTCTCAAATCAACCAACTAAATTTTTTAGTAAATCTCAACACATTTTCTTCCTCTTTTATTTCTATGAAATTACTGAAATTTAAAAAATTTACTAAATGTTTTTTTTTTTTAATTTTATTATAATTAGCATAAACTTTTAATTACTGCCAATAATTAGATCTAAGAGATTTAAGAAAAAGGTTAAAATTAAATAATATTAATTACAGTTATTGAATATTCCATCGGATGCTCGTGAAATTGATCTGAAATCAGCTATCATTGATATAGCATATGAATATTGCCGCCTAAAAGATAACAAAAAAGCGCACATATTTCGTGTGATAACTCAACAACAAACTGAACATCATTTCCAGGCTTATTGGTAAATATTTTTACGAAGACAAAAGGAAAATTTGATTAATGATCAAATCATTTATCAATTATCTATATCTAGTGCATAAAATTATAATTGGTTTAATTAAATTGTAATTATAGAAAAATAAATTATATTTTTTTATCAACAAAATTATTCCTTAATTTATAATATGTTTTAAATGTTAGTCCGATTACTTCTAATACTATCATTGTTTACTTATCAAATAGCTACTTTATTTATTTATTTATTTATTCATCATCAATAAATCAATAAACAATTAATAATTTTGATATATTTAGCTCTTAAAAAAGCAATTAGTCTTTTTTTTTTTTTAAAAAAAAAGGATTTTTTTCTAATCATATATTTTGGTGCCTTTTTTTTAAAAATATATATATATATATCATTTTAAAAAGCATAGATATGAGAAAAATTTAACTCATTTGATAAATTTTATTAACATTTTATTGAAGTGGGAAGAGATATAAAAATTTGAAAAAGAAATATTTACATTCAAAGAAATTGCCGAATTTCAAATTCAAAAAAAAAAAAAAAAGAATTTAGAGGGAAATTTTAGTTATATTTAAAATATTTATTGCAGTGAAGATGATATGTTAAAATGGATTGAAATTATTCGTTTTGCTTCTGCTAATTTAATTAGCTCACAAAGTGACCATGGCACTATTTCTGCGGCTTCTACAAAAGGTATTGCTGAAGAAGAAGTACCATCGAATAATTCCTCAATTGATGCAAAATTAGAATTAAATAATTCGGTTTGTTATTTCTTCTCTTTTCTCATTTAATTTTTTTTTCTTTTTTAATTAACAATTTCAAAAAAAAAAAAAAAATGTGAAGAAATTTCTTTATATCTTTTCAGTAAAACTTTTTTCTTTTTTCGAATTCTTTTTCTTTTTTTTAAAATTTATTTTTAAAAATATTATTTGTTGGTTATTTCGTAAAAAAAAAAAAAATTCCAAATTTTATTTTATTAATATCATTTGAATTATTACTTTTTAGAGTATAATTTATACTGTGACATATGATTTGTTTACTTTCTAAAATTTCATCATCATTGTTGTTTATATAGAAAAATGAAGAAAATAAAGTAATCATTTTTCATACAAATCAATGATTATAAATTTTTTTGAAATACTTTTAGAAATATTTTTCCACTTTTTTTTCTGCAATATCTTATTTTTGTTTTTTTTCTCTCTCTGTTTTTTTTTTTTCAAATTTTACTTAAATTCTAGTATATTTAATACTAATTTAATTAAATAGTAGCATAATTAATAGTAATTAAGTAATTCTAGCAAAAGAAAAAAGATTTGTTTTTGAAAATTTCTGAAAATGAAAAATGATCTATCATTTCACTTAGGTATCAATTTTTCCTTCTCTCTTTCTTTCCCTTTTTTTTTTTTAAAAATTTATGCATTAGACAGTGCCATTAATTCGCTGATTCATTGCGTGGAAAAAAATTTATTTATTCACAAAATCTCACTGTTAACGTCATTGTCATTGAATACGTCAACTCACATCAAGCATAACTTACTTTCATCTTACTGTTAACGTCATTGTCATTGAATACGTCAACTCACATCAAGCATAACTTACTTTCATCTTACTGTCAACGTCATTGTCATTGAATACGTCAACTCACATCAAGCATAACTTACTTTCATCTTACTGTTAACGTCATTGTCATTGAATACGTCAACTCACATCAAGCATAACTTACTTTCATCTTACTGTCAACGTCATTGTCATTGAATACGTCAACTCACATCAAGCATAACTTACTTTCATCTTACTGTTAACGTCATTGTCATTGAATACGTCAACTCACATCAAGCATAACTTACTTTCATCTTACTGTCAACGTCATTGTCATTGAATACGTCAACTCACATCAAGCATAACTTACTTTCATCTTACTGTTAACGTCATTGTCATTGAATACGTCAACTCACATCAAGCATAACTTACTTTCATCTTACTGTTAACGTCATTGTCATTGAATACGTCAACTCACATCAAGCATAACTTACTTTCATCTTACTGTCAACGTCATTGTCATTGAATACGTCAACTCACATCAAGCATAACTTACTTTCATCTTACTGTTAACGTCATTGTCATTGAATACGTCAACTCACATCAAGCATAACTTACTTTCATCTTACTGTTAACGTCATTGTCATTGAATACGTCAACTCACATCAAGCATAACTTACTTTCATCTTACTGTTAACGTCATTGTCATTGAATACGTCAACTCACATCAAGCATAACTTACTTTCATCTTACTGTCAACGTCATTGTCATTGAATACGTCAACTCACATCAAGCATAACTTACTTTCATCTTACTGTTAACGTCATTGTCATTGAATACGTCAACTCACATCAAGCATAACTTACTTTCATCTTACTGTTAACGTCATTGTCATTGAATACGTCAACTCACATCAAGCATAACTTACTTTCATCTTACTGTTAACGTCATTGTCATTGAATACGTCAACTCACATCAAGCATAACTTACTTTCATCTTACTGTCAACGTCATTGTCATTGAATACGTCAACTCACATCAAGCATAACTTACTTTCATCTTACTGTTAACGTCATTGTCATTGAATACGTCAACTCACATCAAGCATAACTTACTTTCATCTTACTGTTAACGTCATTGTCATTGAATACGTCAACTCACATCAAGCATAACTTACTTTCATCTTACTGTTAACGTCATTGTCATTGAATACGTCAACTCACATCAAGCATAACTTACTTTCATCTTACTGTTAACGTCATTGTCATTGAATACGTCAACTCACATCAAGCATAACTTACTTTCATCTTACTGTCAACGTCATTGTCATTGAATACGTCAACTCACATCAAGCATAACTTACTTTCATCTTACTGTTAACGTCATTGTCATTGAATACGTCAACTCACATCAAGCATAACTTACTTTCATCTTACTGTTAACGTCATTGTCATTGAATACGTCAACTCACATCAAGCATAACTTACTTTCATCTTACTGTTAACGTCATTGTCATTGAATACGTCAACTCACATCAAGCATAACTTACTTTCATCTTACTGTCAACGTCATTGTCATTGAATACGTCAACTCACATCAAGCATAACTTACTTTCATCTTACTGTTAACGTCATTGTCATTGAATACGTCAACTCACATCAAGCATAACTTACTTTCATCTTACTGTTAACGTCATTGTCATTGAATACGTCAACTCACATCAAGCATAACTTACTTTCATCTTACTGTTAACGTCATTGTCATTGAATACGTCAACTCACATCAAGCATAACTTACTTTCATCTTACTGTCAACGTCATTGTCATTGAATACGTCAACTCACATCAAGCATAACTTACTTTCATCTTACTGTTAACGTCATTGTCATTGAATACGTCAACTCACATCAAGCATAACTTACTTTCATCTTACTGTTAACGTCATTGTCATTGAATACGTCAACTCACATCAAGCATAACTTACTTTCATCTTACTGTCAACGTCATTGTCATTGAATACGTCAACTCACATCAAGCATAACTTACTTTCATCTTACTGTCAACGTCATTGTCATTGAATACGTCAACTCACATCAAGCATAACTTACTTTCATCTTACTGTTAACGTCATTGTCATTGAATACGTCAACTCACATCAAGCATAACTTACTTTCATCTTACTGTTAACGTCATTGTCATTGAATACGTCAACTCACATCAAGCATAACTTACTTTCATCTTACTGTTAACGTCATTGTCATTGAATACGTCAACTCACATCAAGCATAACTTACTTTCATCTTACTGTTAACGTCATTGTCATTGAATACGTCAACTCACATCAAGCATAACTTACTTTCATCTTACTGTCAACGTCATTGTCATTGAATACGTCAACTCACATCAAGCATAACTTACTTTCATCTTACTGTTAACGTCATTGTCATTGAATACGTCAACTCACATCAAGCATAACTTACTTTCATCTTACTGTCAACGTCATTGTCATTGAATACGTCAACTCACGTCAAGCATAACTTACTTTCATCTTACTGTTAACGTCATTGTCATTGAATACGTCAACTCACATCAAGCATAACTTACTTTCATCTTACTGTTAACGTCATTGTCATTGAATACGTCAACTCACATCAAGCATAACTTACTTTCATCTTACTGTTAACGTCATTGTCATTGAATACGTCAACTCACATCAAGCATAACTTACTTTCATCTTACTGTTAACGTCATTGTCATTGAATACGTCAACTCACATCAAGCATAACTTACTTTCATCTTACTGTTAACGTCATTGTCATTGAATACGTCAACTCACATCAAGCATAACTTACTTTCATCTTACTGTCAACGTCATTGTCATTGAATACGTCAACTCACGTCAAGCATAACTTACTTTCATCTTACTGTTAACGTCATTGTCATTGAATACGTCAACTCACATCAAGCATAACTTACTTTCATCTTACTGTCAACGTCATTGTCATTGAATACGTCAACTCACGTCAAGCATAACTTACTTTCATCTTACTGTTAACGTCATTGTCATTGAATACGTCAACTCACATCAAGCATAACTTACTTTCATCTTACTGTTAACGTCATTGTCATTGAATACGTCAACTCACATCAAGCATAACTTACTTTCATCTTACTGTTAACGTCATTGTCATTGAATACGTCAACTCACATCAAGCATAACTTACTTTCATCTTACTGTTAACGTCATTGTCATTGAATACGTCAACTCACATCAAGCATAACTTACTTTCATCTTACTGTTAACGTCATTGTCATTGAATACGTCAACTCACATCAAGCATAACTTACTTTCATCTTACTGTTAACGTCATTGTCATTGAATACGTCAACTCACATCAAGCATAACTTACTTTCATCTTACTGTCAACGTCATTGTCATTGAATACGTCAACTCACGTCAAACATAACTTACTTTCATCAACATATTTCAAAACTCTACTAACTACTGTTTTAATATTAAATATGCAAAATTTAAGTGAACATTTACCACAAAATTGCACACATTTTTAAAATACATTTTGCTTATTAATTAATTTAATTTCAACACATTTCAATTATTAAAATGTGCATTAAACATTAAAAAAAAAAATGGTTAACATTAATAAACTAAACAACTAAAAATTGATATACATTTATACTAAACAAAAGTACTAAAACTAAATAATTAGATTAAAAAAAAAAGTAAAACTAAATAATTAAAAATTTGTTTGTTCGTTAAAAAAAAATTTAACAAATTTAGAAATATTTCTTATATATTTGCTAATAATATTTCATTATTATATATTTTTTATCATTTTTTATTATGAAAATGTTTTCTTTAATTTAACTTTTTCATTCATTTTATCAATAATATTACAATTAGCGAAAATTAATTTCTATGATTGAAATGCTCTTTGATAATTGCTAATAATTTACTATAATTAGCTCATTCAATGAGAATACTAAAATTTGATAAATTGAAATTAATTGCTTATTTGATTAGCTGTCAGTTGATTAGCTAATAGTAGATAAATCATTATTAAATTTTGTTGACAAAAATGTATGACTCATCATCAATTAATTGAAATACTGATTATATTTTGTTGAAATGCTTGAAATTAGCTAAATGATTTTAGTTAATTACATTAGCAATCCAAATGTTTAATTAATTAATTAATTAATATT